AGCAAAGGGTCTGCATACTTAGGACCATGTGATATTTCAGTTTTTCTTTTTTAATAAATCTGCAAAAATGTCAACAATTCTGTGTTTTTCTGTCAATATGGGGTGCTGTGTGTACATTAATGAGGAAAAAAAATGAACTTAAATGATTTTAGCAAATGGCTGCAATATAACAAAGAGTGAAAAATTTAAGGGGGTCTGAATACTTTCCGTACCCACTGTATATATATATATAGTATTTATAGAGTTTTAGCTTTTAGTTTTAATTACTTTTTCTTATTTGTAAGTCGCTTTGGATAAAAGCGTCTACTTTTACTTTTAGTCATTTAGCAAAGACAGTATATTTTTATATATTTGTTCAGTGGTATCTTTTTATGACTGAATGTGAGTATCACGTATACCTTTACTGATGTCTCCATGAAATTGATCATTGATTATAGCCATTCAACATTACAGTATAAATGAGAGCTATCAATTGTTAACATTTATTAGACTTAAAAAAAAACTTCACATAAACCCATTATAATAAATGTCATATTTAGCTACCTGTGCCCTTCAGCAAGTAGGAAATACACAGAAATTGAACAGACATCACAGCAGCTGGGTTATTAGCTTATTTGGCTGCTGTTACTTTAAGAGCTGCCGCTGCTGAACGTGACACGGACCTGACACGCATCGTATTTTCTCACAACCTTTTATTTATAATTGTGCTTTAATATGAAAAGATACACAGCGCCGCCGTAGCATGCGCTACTTCTGCCGTTATACGATATATATAGAGTTACTATATAATATATACAGTTTATAGTATATAGTAACTCTTCTGAAGGTTCCTTTAGGAGCTCTTCTAGAAAAGCTAATACATTTCTAGCTACGTTAGGACACGGGGCCTCGAGTGCAGAGTCTCCGTCTGTGGCAAGTCAATATTTTGGCCAATATATGTTAATTTCATAGTGTATACGTAATGAAGTAACATCATGACTGTCATGATTAATGTCATGTTGTAGAAATAGATAACACACGGAATGATATACTGTAGAAAGAAAGAAAACGTGGCAGATGTATGTCATTTAAAGTCTGTGAAATCAAAGGAAACACTGCATTGATTTGCAAGCATATTTGTTTCCATGCTTCCTATTTTTTGTTTTTAAACCAAACCATATTTCCCTTTAGTTATGTGCCTTCTTTCTAATATCATTTTTTTAGTAAGTACACTCTTAAAAATAAAGGTGCTTCATGATGCCATAGAAGAACCTTTTTGTCTAAATGGTTCCATAAAGAACCTTTAACACCTGAAGAACCTTTCTGTTTGACAAAAGCTTATTTGTGGCGAAAGAAGGTTCTTCAGATTATACAAAGGTAAGAAAGAGATGTTCTTTAAAGAACCTTTGACTGAATGCTTCTCTGTGGAACCAAAAATGGTTCTTCTATGGCATCGCTTGAAGAACCTTTTGAAGCACCTTTATTTTTAAGAGTGTAGCAACAGCTTCTTTTGTGTCCCGTTTGCCTTTGTCGTAGTTATGTATTATCCATTTAGTCATAGCTATATTTCTCCTTAATTCTCGCGATTCGAGTGAATTCTAGATTCTATCGTATAATAGGAATTAAGCAGTAAACTTGCCTTTTAGAGTTTTGTGAATAGGTTTTTCTCATCTAGGAAGTCATCGAAAAATGCTAAAATAATAAGCATATTAATATAGGAGATCTTGTAAATCTACACTCAAGCTAAGATGTGAACGTTGTATCGTTTATAATGTCTGATCATCAGAGTGTCGTTCTGCTGCTGTTGTAGAAATGTGAAAAGATACAAATATCATCAGTATTTGCTATTTTCTAACTAAAGCTTTTGTTCTGCTTTCCACAATCTTGCAGTGTATATCTGTGAATACTGCTCCAGAGAGTCATGCCAGCTGATAATATCTTCTCTCCAGGAGAGGGAGGGCGACCAGACCATGAGCTGACCCTGAGGTTATCTGAGGAATGTGAGAGGAGCTCTGCGTAATGCGCCGAAGCTCCAGTTGCGTGCCATTACCACTTGACATATTCTTCGCACATGACACAGAGCGCAGCATGCAGGCGTACAGTATCACGATCAGATGACACTAGCACGTGTTGGTATATCTCGCTGGCTCCAGTCCAAAATTAATCCAGGATTACACTCTAACACAGAGAGAACTCAATGACTAATAAACGCAGCTGACGGGGGCTTCAACAGCCGAAGACTTTTGAGAAAAGACCATCAGCAGACTATAAAAAGGAAACAGAAGACACAGACGAGATCCAAAACCAAATCAAAAGAATGCGGTCTAAAGGAGCGTTGGTGTTTGTGTTACTGGGCGCGTTAACAGCTTACTACGTTTATTCTCCAATCCCGAATAACATAGAGGAGCGATGGAAACTCATGCTCACTGACTCGTTCTTCAGGAGTTTAATCCAGTTGGTAAGTTTGCTTGCATTTGTATTTTTACACGCATCGCGTTGCTTGTAAGAGTGACAGCCATCAGTCTATAGTTTAACACCGGTTTAACGCACATAGTGCCGTGCATTTGCAGTGTTAGGGCCGTATATCTGGCATCGTGTTATTATTCTGGACAGGTTTGATCAAAGAGTGTGATTACGCAACTGTCGGGTCAGTTAAGCGTCGGGTTATTTGTGGGAATTGTTTGGCATGACACCACACCAGCAGATTTAGTTGACAGATTATGTCGATTCTTAATCCGAGCATTATATAGTAAGCTTTGTGGCTAATAATAGCAGGAAATTATAGCAGGAAATAGAAATTAAATGCATGCACGTGTAAAATGCACCTCAGATAGGGGAGTGTTACGTCTAAACGTCTCTCTCTCTCTGTCTGTCTGTCTACAAATTACAGCTGTTTGAAATCTACAGCTTATCCATTTTACTGTGAAGTGTCACTGTTGTTACAAATACTGGACATCAGCTTACATTTTGAAGTGGCATTTATGAAATTCATGATTTTTAAACCATTGCTCAGCATCCTGACTCCACCTTTCATTTTAAACATTTTAAAAGGTAAGCAAATGTGAAACATTTGATTTAAATGGCGAACTAATTGGGGAAAGAAAACAAATAAATAAATAATGTTTATGCTGCATCCCAAGTCACCCATGTAGACTATACCCCAAGACTACTCTTTTTCTGAAGAAAAAACTCTCTCTCTGTCTGTCTGTCTACAAATTACAGCTGTTTGAAATCTACAGCTTGTCCATTTTACTGTGAAGTGTCACTGTTGTTACAAATACTGGACATCAGCTTACATTTTGAAGTGGCATTTATGAAATTCATGATTTTTAAACCATTGCTCAGCATCCTGACTCCACCTTTCATTTTAAACATTTTAAAAGGTAAGCAAATGTGAAACATTTGATTTAAATGGCAAACTAATTGGGGAAAGAAAACAAATAAATAAATAATGTTTATGCTGCATCCCAAGTCACCCATGTAGACTATACCCCAAGACTACTCTTTTTCTGAAGAAAAAAAAAAATATATATATATATATATAAATATCTAAAAATACTGTTGAGTGAGTAGCAAAAGATTTGGTGAGTTTTGGGACATACTACATCATGTATGCAGTTTTAACAGACCACGCTTTTGCATAGTTGCATGCATCCTATCATTGTAAACTGGTCTGTCAATCATCTTGTCACAGTTATCGTCATATATATATATATATATACTGTATATACTCCATATTTCAGTTCAGTTTAATTTACAACTCTCCTTGTTTTTGTATAGTGATGCATTGTAAACTTTATAAATGTGTAAATGTTGTTGCAGATTAAATAAATATTTTTCATCAGTTTAGATATGAATTATTAATCACTCAAACCACTTTATTTAAATCTCCCTACTTAAACCTCTGTCTCACACATCTGCCATGTTTGTAGGGTCATCATTTAGGAGGCTCTGCAGCCAAGAGAGTCCCTACATGGTTTAGAAAATTAACCTATTACCAAAGGAGATTGAAGACTAAATTAGAACTGGTGACAAGAGACTTCAGGCTTAATACTGTGAACATCACTGGAGAAACATCACTTAACATCAAGTGGCTTAACAATGGGCTGTTGTCCACCGAAGCAAAAGATTAGGGGATTCTGGCTATTAGTGAGATGATCTCAGCTGATCAACCATGTGTATGCCCTGTTCATAACCTTTTTGAGAAAATAAGCCAGGCACCGTGTGACTTCCACTGGGAGCTCTTGCACAAAATAAGCCAAAAACATCCATTTAATTTTTTCCCCCCTCTTCACAGGCAGAACTGAGCGAGTGGATGGGACTGTTGCACTACATGAAAGTTATGATGTTCATCACCATTGCAGAGCGAGTAGTGCCTGTGTCAGATGAGAGGGTGCAGGTGTCAGATGAGAATTTTGATGGGGTAGAGGTGATTGTGTACCAGCCAACCCAGCAACAAGAATCAGGAGAGCCAAGAAGGGCCATTATTTACCTGCATGGAGGAGGATGGTGTCTTGGCAGCTCCCGTGAGTACCATTAATCACACAACGCTGTATAATAGAGTGCTCTAGCTTTTTATATCTGAATGGTAATGCAAATGAAGACACTGGAACTTCAAAGATTTTAATTCTCCATCATTATGACAGATACCCATTCAGACTGCAGAGAAGCCATGCATGCGGTCAGTGCAGATCAGAGTGAACATTTACAGCAGCTTGAGGCAAAAATGGCACCAAAATGAACAAAAATGCACCCCATATTCAAGATACATGTGCAAAAAAAGTCCCTGCACCATTAAACAAAATTGATTACGACTGTCGAGATAAAGAGAAATATGAAAATAATTGAAAAGTGTTGAATGCGGCATTACATTTAGATCTGCTCATGCTGTATCAAAGAGTTATTTTATGTGTTGGTTTTTGCAGCATTGAGCATTACAGCCAATCACACACGTTTCTGTTGAGTGTATGAATGCAACAGCTAATCAGAGGTGTTTAGATTAGTCACTGGTTAAGAAATCTGCTGAAAACCCTGGTTTATTTCAGTTTGCACTCACTGATTGAATTCTGCACACTTTCAAATTCTTTCATCCTAAACAAAGTGCAGAAATGATGAATGTAATACACACTGCAGTGTAGACAGCTTCAGAAATTATAGTGAGAGTTGTTGTGCTCATGCAGAACTCGCTGAACTGAAGTCACTGCCTGCTTCAGTGATAGTGAACATTCTTCTGCTAAGACTTTCTAATGCATGAAACTTCATAAACAGCAGATGGCTGATTATTTTTCTAAAAATGTGTAAAGTATTGCAAAAAAAAATCAGTTTATCAGTTTTATTTCATATACTGAAAACTGCGTTGAATGTACATAAACTGTAGAAAAGGTATGTTCTAAAAACCCTCTTCCTTTAAAGTTCTATTGGTCTCCCTCTCTTTTTTATAAGTGATGGTTAAAGGGGTTACAGTTTATTTTAAGGTGTCCTTGTTACATTGTAATTATACAATTTTAGTAATATGTAAAAATTATTAACAACATGTATTTACTATAGGGTTAACATGCAAAATGAACTGTTATTACTAAAGTAAGAGCATGTTACATATATTTTGCTTTAAAGGGGTCATATGATGGTGCTAAAAAGAACATTATTTTGTGTATTTGGTGTAATGCAATGTGTTTATGCGGTTTAAGGTTAAAAAAACACATTATTTTCCACATACTGTACATTAATGTTTCTCCTCTATGCCCCGGCTTTCTGAAACGCGTCGATTTTTACAACTTAACTTTTATAAAGTATATCTCTTTGGATTTGATACTTTAGTCTTTGCAACTTTAGGGATCTTATCTATTCACGAACAGCTTGTAACACTCCAAAGAGAAATTAAAACTTGAAATCGCATCATATGACACCTTTAATCCATGAGAACTGTTTTCATAACTAGAGGCTTAATCAAATAAGAGTCAAAAGTTTTTTTTTCCCTTCTCACCTTAGGTATGGGCCCATATGATCTACTAGCCAGACACATGGTTACAGAGCTCAACGCAGTTATTGTATCTGTAGAGTAAGTATCAAATGTTGTTCATTTAATAAAAATCCTTGCTTGCTTCTACAAGGTCACACAGGATCTGGCGACTGATTAACTGACTGATTGATTGATTGATGTAATTTTATATAATTGTGTTTATCATTTCTATTACAGCCATTAAATTGTTAATTAATTATCAGCTAATTAATAAATATCACATATAACCCAATTTGTAATAAAATAGTTAGGAATTCCCCCAGTTCCCTTTTGAAGTGGAACACAAGACCGCATGCGGCATGATGTTGACACTATGGGAATATTACTTGTGAGCCGGTGTCTGAAGCATGTTTGCTAAATGCCCATCTTGATTGGCTACTGCGTCAGGTGACGTCACAGGCAAGGTGGCCAGCTATTTAAAGAGTAGGGGCGGGAGGGGGGAGTTCTCTGGGTTCGGAGCCCTCCTTCCAGACAGCACGCCAAATAGGCGTACTATTTGCTAAATCCTATTATACATAAGTGTGAACACTTGAATGCACAGTGCTGTAAAAACCCGTCTGTTCTGCCTCAGCGTCAGCCAATGAACGCTGATTTGAATTTAGCATCTGGTGATGTGCCACGCTGAACGTTCTTATCACACCGGTATGATAAGATATTTTTCGGCTATTTTTTCGTCTTTTGGAAGCTGCATTCAAAATCCACGTAGCTCAAATCTATGGGGGCACGTGCCCCCCCTCAGTTTCAATGGGCATGACGCCTCTGATAAGGAGTGCCTATAACACGTCATCAGCTTTATTCTCTTCAGAAAGCCGTTTGTCTGTTCTATAGTCTGTGTGAGAAAGCCCAAAAAAGAAAGTTAAAGAAATAAGTTAACACAGATTTAGAAAGTGTGGCGGTGCTGCAGACATACCAAGCTGATTTACTGAAGGATGTTGACTGACAATCTAACAGATAGACAGAGCCAAAGAGCAGCATCACTGGCTTTTTGAAGATTCAATTTAGATTTGGAGATTTAATCCGTCAGAGCTGTAAGAGAAGGAAACATCTTTTCTCCTAGATGCCCCAGTTTTGTCTTCCAAATTTTTTGACATTGCCTTTGAGGTGGTGGTCAGAAGGCAGGTGTTAGAGCTGCACGGTTCTGGATAAATTGAGGATCACTATTTTTTTCTCTCAGATAGAGATAACGATTCTCCCATGATTCTGAACTAAACAAAATAATGTGTGACAAAATATGAATTGCTGCAGTCGACTTAATAGTGTTCAATTTGAATGAATTATTAAAATGTTTTAATATGTTTTTAAAATATAATATATTTAATACATCCATTTTTTATATAAAAATTATGAAAAAGTGGTTTGAATGAATGATTCAATGACTCACTCATAAATACTTCCCTTGTTTCATTACTGGATGAATAAGCGTTTTTGAACAAATCTCTTGAATGAATGATTCAATGACAAATACATTTTTAACAGTCACTTCTTGTCACCTTGCAATCAACACAAATGTTATTTGAATCGCCAAAAGTTGCCTTGCTCTATTTTGATCACTACCATAGACATTAATGTTTATATCTGAAAAATAAACTTTCATCCCAGTTTTTCTGGGATAACACGAATGACTGTAAGACAGAAATAATTCTGGTTAGTTGAAAAGACTGTTTGTGAAGATGTTTCTTACTTAAGCATGTCTGCTCTCTTTGTCAGCTGCAGCGCAAACGCAGATTTGAATGTTCCTGTATCATGACTTTTTCAAAGGTTTAACAGACACGGGCGAATCGTTGTTGTTTAAAAATGGGATCGCGTGGGTGTCCGAATCACGATCTCGATCTTTTAAAGATTAATCGTGCAGCTCTAGCGGGTGTTCTCCTCAGAAGACCTCTGAGGAGTCAGGGCTCCAGGCAGCAACCTCGCTTGATGCCAAAAATGATCTCAGAAGTCATCATGACTAAATGTGCAATAAACATTTGATTGACGAGGCTGTACACGTCTCCTGCAATTACACTTTCCCACAAAGCCTCCTCGATCTGAGGGTTTGACGAGTGTAGGTGATCTGTTTTATGATGGTCATGTGCATAGCTGTGTAGTGCTGGAGTGAGTGGTCTGGACTCTCTTCTTTCAAGCGCTTACACAGTCTTGAATGGAGGCAAAGTTTTAACCTACGCTTACTCCCAAAGGAAGTGTTACGTTCTATTAGAGGAATGGAACAGCAGATAAAGAAGATGAGCAATACTGCTTCTCGCATCCCACTTTTTCATCTGTTGTTTCCAGTATTGTGAACATGGGGATGAAAATTATTTTCTCCTTCTGTATTGGTATATGTAGGGTTGTCAGATATAGTTGAAAAAGATGGGCAGTACAACTGTCTGCATCCCACTTCACCGTCTGTCGTCTCCCCAGTATTGTGTATACAGAGGTAGAAGCAATATGCAATATTGCTGTATTTGCATATGTACAATGTATGGGCATAGATCAGGAAGATGGGCAATACCACTTCCTCATCACCTAGATGGCCATCGGTCAAGACCACGGGAACCAAATGAGTCCTCTGCACAATCTGACTTTGCTGCAGCCCTAGAATTAAACTGCTGGTTTTGTCTAGCCAGAGGAGAATGGCACATTATTTCAACACACTATTTCCCTGTTTGATACTGCAAAGCTGCTTTGACACAATCTGCACTGTAAAAAAGCGTTATATAAATAATGGTGACTTTACTTGACTTCTTGTAAGAGCCGTTTCCTTATGAGGACCCCAAAACTCGACTAACACATTATTTGATTCTATCATTATTTGTAAAAGATAATCTAATCTCTGTGCTGACTGATACAAAAGAAAACAGCAGAATAATAATTAAAAAAAAAAAGGTGGAGCATGCATGAGAGCGATTTCAGTGTGGGACTCTGTGTAGTATTCAACAACACTCCCTCAGCTGATTATAGTGCATGTTCGGACAGGAATGAGCATGTTTTAAGTTTATATTGGCATATGTTATCTACTGCATTGCTTCAATATTTGTGCCTTCTCTAATAAAATACAGTTATGCAAAATAACAGCACTGGGTATAGTGAAATACAACAGCGACTATGTGGTAGATTGTACAGATAAAAAGAAGACAAAGACAAAATAATTAATAATTCAAATAAGAATTTACAGAAAAGCATAAAATAAACTGTGCCTTTTTCAGCCAGCTTACGTGTTTTAAACGGATGTGTCATTTACTTTATCTAAATGACACATATCCATTCTTACGTATTGTGTCCCTAGTTTGTTGTCATGGCACAGAGTATTTTTAAAATACAGCCAAGTGCTCCAAACTCTTTTGTCTTGGTCTGCACTCCATTTCAATATTAATTCCTGTAGGCACACCAGCAGTACACATTCTGAATGTCTCCCTTATCAGACATATAAGGTTTTGGAATATACATGGAGTACAGGTTTACAACAAAGCCGTTGTGATTAGTCAGGTGTGTTAGATTAGGAACAGTTTGATAATGTATACTGTGTGCCTCAAGAAAAACGGTTTGGAAGCACTGCTATCCTGAGTGTCTTGTAGGTATGTGTTTTACTGGTTATGTTTGACAGCCTCCCTTCCTCTGTGATTTCCCCTCCCCTTTTCCAACAGCTTTATACACCCATTTTTGTGCCTTTTTTCAAATCTGAGGTGTGAAACATCAGTGTTAAAATGGGATGTTCAACAAACTTGCATGCCCTAACAAGTTTGACAGCACTTACTGATTTCTATTTATATCGACTGTGATATATCTGTGATATGTCTGATGTATCTTCGTGTACCTGTCATAGTTTGCTTAAAGAGCTGAATAATGCATTTAGCCCTATGTTGGAACGTTTTCCACCTGTGAATGCTCTGTTCTTAACAAACAGAGGCTCCATGCTGCTCTCACTGTTCTCATGTATTACCTTTTATGCAACCGCAGCAGGAATAGGATAAATAAATGTGCTGATGACACCACTGTGATCTGATAACCATCTACAATGAACTGAAGTGAGGGTAAGCCCTCTCTGCATGGGCCAGCGCTCCAGCATTCCAAAGCAGAATCCTGTAGTATCATGGACAACAGCAAAAACAAGGACATGCGGTGTGTCAACAGAGCATGAAAATGAGATAAAATTGAAAGAAAAAGCCAAATTAAAAATGGGATCGCGTGGGTGTCCGAATCACGATCTCGATCTTTTAAAGATTAATCGTGCAGCTCTAGCGGGTGTTCTCCTCAGAAGACCTCTGAGGAGTCAGGGCTCCAGGCAGCAACCTCGCTTGATGCCAAAAATGATCTCAGAAGTCATCATGACTAAATGTGCAATAAACATTTGATTGACGAGGCTGTACACGTCTCCTGCAATTACACTTTCCCACAAAGCCTCCTCGATCTGAGGGTTTGACGAGTGTAGGTGATCTGTTTTATGATGGTCATGTGCATAGCTGTGTAGTGCTGGAGTGAGTGGTCTGGACTCTCTTCTTTCAAGCGCTTACACAGTCTTGAATGGAGGCAAAGTTTTAACCTACGCTTACTCCCAAGGGAAGTGTTACGTTCTATTAGAGGAATGGAACAGCAGATAAAGAAGATGAGCAATACTGCTTCTCGCATCCCACTTTTTCATCTGTTGTTTCCAGTATTGTGAACATGGGGATGAAAATTATTTTCTCCTTCTGTATTGGTATATGTAGGGTTGTCAGATATAGTTGAAAAAGATGGGCAGTACAACTGTCTGCATCCCACTTCACCGTCTGTCGTCTCCCCAGTATTGTGTATACAGAGGTAGAAGCAATATGCAATATTGCTGTATTTGCATATGTACAATGTATGGGCATAGATCAGGAAGATGGGCAATACCACTTCCTCATCACCTAGATGGCCATCGGTCAAGACCACGGGAACCAAATGAGTCCTCTGCACAATCTGACTTTGCTGCAGCCCTAGAATTAAACTGCTGGTTTTGTCTAGCCAGAGGAGAATGGCACATTATTTCAACACACTATTTCCCTGTTTGATACTGCAAAGCTGCTTTGACACAATCTGCA